TCCTTTTCAAGCTCAAAATAGGCATGGAAGGATAGGATCAGGTAATATTAGGTTGTAAGGAAAGTTCTGGCCGTTTCGGACCATTGAAGTTCAAATGTGCATATCTCGACTCAAACGCAACGTTTTCGATCGCAATAAAAACCGTTGGATCTACTCTTCCTTGCGAACATTCATGTGTTTGATCAATCCGTTCACTGGAAGTACTGGAGTTCTAGAGGCGATGAACTCGGCGAAGGTCGTTTCACCATCATGTTAGATTTCGTAGCATTTCCCCTTTAAGGTGCTATCCAGACCGTTGAAAAAGTGGCGGTGAATAGGGAAGAGGTCTAGGGAGTGGGACGTTTGGGACATAGTTCAGTACTTCAGCTAGTTCTTTTTTGCAGGGTCGCTTCTGCGGTCAACGGCTGAGGTGCATCGCGGAAAAGAGTCGGCCCATTTATGGCAGCCCTTGCTGGGCGCAAGCGTCAAGATTTTGGGATATTCCGACACCATGCAAAGAATATTGTCCCACTATACAGTTCCGCCTGTGCTCGAAAAGCTGCGCCTGCTGTAGACCGCGTAACAGGCCGAACAACCTTCTCCTCGCGCAGTTTCATCTTTGCGAAATTTTGTTGACCCTAGTCGTGATCGAACTACCCACCCGAAGTTCGTAGGTTATTGAGAAGAATCCATTCTACATTCACAACTCACAATCCGAACAAACACGGGTCGTTTTCATTGAATGAAAGATTGAGAAGAAAGGCAGACGGCCCTACGGAACCGCGATTTTTCGCGACACCTCCTTATCGACTTTTCCGTGCTTTTTTAAGCTATCCCATGTAACTTGAAACCACAAATCATATACGCTCAATTCGGTAGCAGTCTTCTCAACTGTTTCAAGCACATTTGGTTCCATCAAATGTTTCAGTAATTTTTACCGAAGTTCGACATCCAACGATCACCCTCGCCAACTTCGAGGCTATCGCCATCCCTACACAAGCTTTCCAAACTATCGCTTCATGATTTTTCCGCAAATGCGTGGCCAAACGAATAGTTTATATCGTGAGCTGATTCCGCTCCTTTCTGCCCTAATTCGAGGTAGAAGAAGAAAATCGTGAGGATTCGCTTGATGAGCATGTTGCATTCAAGGCTTTAAATAAGTAGAAGTAGTCCCTCTAGGCAAAGCTTATGCGCATTTGGATAGAGCAAAAAACGCGCTTTCTAATGATATGCAACTCGTAGCAGTCTGCCGAAAATTTAGCCAGAAATAATGCCATGAACTTGAACTATCGAAAACGGCCAGAACTTTCCTTACAATCTAATACATGGTTTGCAAAGTGGTGCACTTACCAAATCACCAAATCCGATAGTACATATAGTAATCACGGCCCACCACAGCCCCACTGGTATCGAGTCGAACTGGTTTTCGGGATTGTCTTCGACCCGCTCCGCGTAGTAGACGAGTGCGGCGAATATGACTATACCAAGTAGCACAAAGAACACCAGAAGAAAGAGCTCCTGAAAGGATTAGCCAATTCGCTTTGGGATTCATCGGTGAACATAAAACTGACGAGGATTAAAGCAGTGCGTAGAAAAATTGGTTGTTCCAGAATTGAATATATGCATTTTTAACCCTTAGACTACGACTTTTTTAGAAACAAGTTATCGATGTGTTTTGTGTAGTAACAGTCGCTCCTAGCAACAACTAATCATCTGTAGAAATTTGGGCTGACGCGCGCTGGGTTTGAGCTGGGATTCGATCCAGAGACCATATGCGCGGCAGTGGCCCCTCCTGTCACCACACCATCTCCGCTCGAATGAGCATTTTTGAACAGTTCAAATACCATTCAACAAATACACATTTATCACATCTCATTCGTGGAACAAGGCAATGTCCGGTTGGGAACGCACTTGAAAAGAATTGCAAGCCGCACTTTGTAGAAGTGCTGCTCCCCTGCCTACAGGCTGCGCCCACCGGCTGCTTCTCCTCCAACGAATTTTCGCTGGTTTTTATGCTCGAAAGCTGCGTCATCATAGGAGTGTTCTACTACCACTTCCGCATCAAACGAACTGACAAAATTCGGAGGATGGGGCCGTGCTGTCCTCTAACTGGCTTGCGGCCGATAAACCTCCATCCGTCATCGGTTTGCTTATGTTTCACCTGTTTCACAATAATTGACGGAAATATGAGAACCATCAACACAAAGAGTGTGAGACTCGAAAACTACCTTTTCGGGAGCTGTGCACACTGCCCAGTGACCTGTGGAACGACTTGCTTATCAACTTATCCAGCGTAACTCGCTTAGACTTCTGATACTTCGCTGACAGAGTAAGAATTACCAAGTTTCTAGTTGTGCACAATTCCGCCATAAAGCGGGCCCTCCGATCTCAATAAGTGCCAAAACTGTGGTAGTGACTTTGACTACGGAAGTGGGACACATGTGTACCACCAGTAGTCAAAGATTAACTTACGCAGGATGACTCGCTTTAGCTTTTGACGATTAAGGTTCATAGTGAGAATTAGAAGCCTCTATATGTGCACAATTAGCCATCAAATGGCGTGCTCCTCCCTCAATATTTGAAACTGTGGTAGTGTCTTTGTTTACCAAGTGGGACACATGTGTCCCACCAATAGTCAAAGGGTTAAGTGAAACCATGTGTCTGTACACACGATGTGTAACGCGCTTCACAGCTGAGGCCGGTGCGTCAACGAAACCTTACCCATTTTTAGGGCGGTTTCCCAGGTTAGCCCACCGGCCACTAGGGAGTAGGTTGAGCTGCCGACGGGCGCCCCTGTGTCCCCGGGGGGAAGTTGGGTCCGCTCCTCCTGGTGGGTGCTCAGGAGGCAGCGTGGTGGGCCGATGGGCAGCTCGGCTGGAGGTCGAGTGTCGGAGAGCCGGGACACCTTTTGCGAGATATTCTGTTGTTCCGACACAAAGGTAAATATTTAGTATATTACCGTGTTCATTTATTGAGGGCATGAATATGGCAAGCCTTTATTTACCAGTAAGCGAAAAGCCTTGTGCCCGGAAACTCAGGCACTGCCGGTAAATGTTGCACCGATCAACGGCGACTTGCGATAGCTGTCTGTCAGGGTTTTCCGCTATAAACGACCCTCTGCACTTTTTGCAAGGTAATAGCTAAAATACCAACAAAAATGATTGACAGCTTATCAAAATCAAAAAGGGCTCACCTGTGCTGATGCCTTGAATGTTTGTATAAGTATCTTCAGGCCAACTGAGTGTTGAGTGAGTTTGAATAATCGAAGAATTCGAATTATCGAGAAGAACTCGACAGAATCTCTGCAAAGCCAGGATTACGGCGCCATTTCCAATAATGAAGGAAGCTACATAAGTGATGAGGTACGGTACCTGTTCGCTCCTGACAGTGCGCTGTCAAGAGCCCAGTCGATATAGAAAGATATAGTTGCTATGAAATCAATAATATTGACAGGAGTCTTGAGGAATGGGCCAACTTTAGGGCAGAATAGCATACGTAAGAGAAATTCACCCGAAAACCACATATTGCATACCAGTTCGACGTAGAAAAATGATGGATGAGGCCTATAAAAAATGCATTCTCAGAAGTGGTTCCCTAGCACTGGGCAACTATAAATAATACATGTAATAGCGAAAAATGCATTTATAAATAATAAATAATGTAACAATATAATATAATAAATAATAATATGATGATAATAATATTGATAAATAACAATAAAATAATAAGAAATAAATAATAAAATATTGAAATAATAGTAAATGATAATAAAATAATGAAAGTCATAATAAAATGAACAATGCACAAAAACACATAAGATACATTTATTATATACGGAATTTGAATGTGGCAATAGAGTTCCAGGAATGGGAGTGGGCTTGACTAGGAGATCGTGACAGAGACGTTATACAGCAGTCTTCCCAGATAGTGAACTCTTCCCGAGAAGGTGCTCTAAATGTCGAGTTTGCCCGCTTTCAAGTATAAAATTATTACCTGGTCGCCGTTTTACCGACGTATACTGTTCCCGGATGGGTAACATTCAAAGAACCAATATCGATGTCTGGTATTCGTAGATAGGGATGTGTCTTCAAACAGAAGCATACAATCGATAGTACCACGAAGCAGATATTGATTAATGAAATTGTCTGAAAGTTGATTTATTGCATTTTGGTAGGTACTTCCTCAGAATTTTGGGGCATGGGTTCAGTGTTTTGAAATCGACATTATAATAGAGTTATTGAGATGTATGAACGAATTCAGACGCTACCCAACCGAGCGGTTGAAAACTATTTTGCCTTCAAAATTCAGAGAATCATCGGATACCTATAAGAAAGAACCATGAAAGATTTTTATATTACCCGTCCCTGAAATATAAGAATGAAAAGGATAGGTGAACTTGCTCGAGAGATATCATTGAGAAGTCTTAAGAAGGCCAACATTAGTTGTGGCACCAAGTTTTTATACAATTGCCTTTGCTCTGGCTTTTATTTAGCACGCTGTGGTATACGGTAGGTAAGCGGGATACTGTAGAGGAGGCTCTTCACATGTATGAGATAAGCGGTTTTGTCAATCCACCTCAACCTTACAAACAGTAAGCAGATAACGGCGACGAATGACAAACGCACATACATACAGGAAACTCAAGATTTCTTCACAGATCACTTTAGCCGACGAGTCGATTATCGGTCGTGGGGAAATCAGCTGGCCTTATTAGCGTGAGAAATGTTAGCGCGAACGTCACGCAGTGTCAATACAACTGTTCATCACCATTCAATGTCATGCAACTCACCCCTTGTTAATGACGCTGCCCGTTCTGAAAATCAGTATTGATCAATGAATCCAAATTATTAGGTTTATCATTTCATCTGCTGAGATATCGATTAATGAGCACACCTCCATAGATTATTCATGAAGGCGTTCGTGAATTTCACTAGTAGCACCTACACATTGTTCTTTTACACTGCTTGGCGCGGTTACGGTAACCATAATGCTTATTAAATTTCATGTATTCCTCTCAAAAAAGACACAAGATACAATAATAAATTATTCTATTGATAAACGACATAAGAAGAATAATTTCTAGACACGTTGTTAAAGCTCTTGCGTAAGTCCGAGAACATGCATAGGAATTAATATCGATCGATATGAAAGTATGACTAGGCTTGGAGATAAGATAGATATGTGAGGCAAGAGAAAACCTCACATTTAACACCCGCTTACTGCGAACATTGAAATCTAGACCCGATACGTGAATTGTCCGAAAACTACACTGAATTACATACATTAAGCATCGATGACACCGTACATCACCACAACACGACTACCTCGGACAACTGTCACAAAAGTGTCAAAAGATGTTGAGATTCCACGCGGAGTCAAACAATTAACTGTGAATGCGGTCGAAATCGATCGCAGTTCTGATTTGCTAGGTGAGCAGCTTGTGATGCGCGTCGTACGGAGGTCCACCGTTTCGTCCAAGGTTGTTCATTGGCGTCATGTTGAGCGCATTTGATGAAGAGGATTTCTTCCGATGCTTGTTCGCATTAGAATTCTTCGCATTTAACATCGACGGCTTCACCTCATGAGCCTAAAATCAATAGAGTCAGTTAGCCAAGAAGGTTTATTGAAAAGCTAGAGGATTGAAAAGATGATGTTGATGTCGGCTAATAGCTTTATCTCGATATAAGTACAAAAGCTGATGTCGAACGATGTCGTTCGAACGAGAGGGTCGCACTTGTGATTTTGGAAAGAGAATAGGTCGCATTTCCCGGCTTGAGGAAGGCTATCATAGTGGGAATGGAGGTCGACGTAGGTCTTTGAAGAGGGTTGTTTTTGGACGGGTTTTTTGGTTGGTGAAAGTTTTGGCTGTGTCGACTGCTCTCAAAATCGCGCACTATAGAAATAACCATGATGGTGAAGGTGGTGGTCGAAAAGGGAGGAGGTATATTGTATTGGGGGAGCCTTTTAAGAGTGATGGTGGTGGGTCACATCGAAATCTTAAAGGGGGGGGGTCACAAAATTTTTGAAAAGTGCGAACGTGACGATTGACCCAGCGTCCAAGGCGGGAATCAACGGAAAATGGGGTCCCCTTTTTCGGGTCTGAAGTTGTTGTGTCTCGGATTTTTATTGACCAGTGTCCTCTATCACCTCTACTTTCAGCTCCAATGAGCAAGGATTTTTCGTGTGATCCGCCATTGATCATGTTCGATCAACCCTAATAAGTAGTCGCGAGTGCGAGTTGTTTGTGCTCTGACCTACCATACCTGTAACACCCGTCGACGTTTCTTTGGCAGCTTCGCACGAGCTTGTGAGTGCGAATAGAGGTTGGAGAAGTTGGAAACGATGACTGGCACAGGCAGTGCGATAGTCAGCACTCCCATAAGAGCGCATAACGAACCCACGACCATTCCGAGATAAGTTCGAGGCACCTGAAAATCGAACGTACCCGCTTTGGTTGCCCAACTTTTAATTCTGGTCAATGAGTGCAGTGTTCGGTGGTATCACTCCTAGTAGCATAACACTAGGAATGCTGCATTCAGGGAATTATTTATCAGAGATCCAAATTTCTCTCAGTTTCCTTTTTAAGGCATTTATCGGAAATTAGTTTACAAACGTGTTGGAAAGTTGGAAACGTTGACCGAGTTATGTTAAGGTTTTCAAAGAATCAGCACTACCAGCTTAGGAAAGAGAGCATTGATTCACTTTCCCCGTGAAGGAATTTGAAAACATTTTACACTCGATTACGAGGTTTGCCCACCTATCTGTCCATTCCTAGCGCCTGGCAAGCGATTATCAGTTGGCAGCCCATATGGGCTGCCATCGTCCCAGGAGCGCATGTTGTTGGCAGCCCATATGGGCGGCCATCGGCGTGAATGTGTTAAGTCCAAAAGTGACACGACCTCTACGATTGAGAACCTAACATTGCATCTACAAAAAATAGTGAACGACATCGTGGAGAAGTGAAGCGTGAGCTGGACTAAAATTCACACAAAAAAATAGGAACAACGTAAATAATAAAAATTAAACAGAATATATCAATAGAAATCAAATAAATAGAAATACAAAATACATATTACAGCAAAAAAATTTTGAGCTTCTCAGTACTACCAGGCCATTCTCGTAGCAATGTTTCTTTTCAGTTTGTTCGTCTACTGTTTTGCCCGTCAATGCGACGCTTCCTTCGCTCACCACTTACGGTCATCGACGTAATCTCAACGTCGGCATTCTATTTCGAGTGGTTGCTCCACGCTATTCTCATACAAACTGGTGAGCTAAGTTAGTTTATTTGCAGCTATCTTACTTATACGATTGCATTTTGAACTCCACCCTGGCTGTTGGTCACTGAACTGCACACATTACTGTTACTATACCAGTGCTATGTGAAACCACTTGGTCGCTCAGGAGACAAAATGAGGATTCATTCTAGCGCCTACAAACGCTGTGCTAATGCTAAAACTGTATTCCTAATTACGATTTCACTTTGAAACATCGTCATTTTCAGGATCTCTAGTCACAATTGATTTCCTCTCGATGATCTGTGTGCTACGTCTTTTTAAAGCTCACTCAGGCACTTTTCCCGGTCCTGAAAATCCTCATACAACGATGTAAGCGTGACTTATTTTTCAATTTTTAGCAATATTGAACTGCGAATAATTTTAAAATGAAAAAAGACCATGAGGGCTGTCCCTTCTTCATGTCACAAACTCCATTTTTTATGATAATTTGTCTTTTAAATCAACATTATGATGTTGGTGTAATATCGTACATAAATACTTCTATTAATATAATACTTAGTTTTTGAAATTTACCTTCAGCGTGACAGTAAACTCGAAGTGGGGCCAAAGTTGTAGGGTGACGACAGTGTGATGTTTGCTTTTTTAGTTCGCAATCGGCTTCACAACTATCCAGTGAAACCTTTATGTACGGATGCCCTAAAGACATCGCCCCACTAAACGACAAATTTGTGTTATGCACATTATTGGGCATTTCGTCCAGAAAATTCCGCGACACGCATTTGAATTCGACACGTCGCTTGAACTGCGCTATAGGCCGCCACCAATATATAGAAGGGCTCCCTCCTTTTGAATCTGAAAAGGCAACTATGGATTCCTACAAGATCGAGTATCCTTCGACCCCATCGTAATGAGTTCATACAAGGACGTTTGCGCATAATAGAAGCCAGCTGATAACACTCTGCACTGATTCAAAGAAAGAATGGTTCACACACATTCCACCTGTTAGTCGCTGTGGCGATCGCTTCGAGTCCGGCGATATTTCTTTCGAAGGACATGAACGTCCTGGACGTCCATCAACTCTTCAAGATGATGATTTACGCAGCGCTTTGATCTCAAAGCCGAACATAACTAGTCATGAATTAGCAACTACACTCGGGAGCAGCAAAACAACCGTCAGCGATCGCCTTGCCTCTCTTGGCTTCCGCGAAATTCTTTCGACATGGGTACCTCACGAACTTCGCGAATCGGACCGGGCCTGTCGCGTCAGCGTTGCCGAGTCATTGCTCCTTCGTCCGCATAGGAAGGATTTATTGAACGGACAGTGACAGGAGATGAAAGCTGGGTCTTGTACGTTAATGATACTCGCAAGAGAGTGTGGTTGCCAAAGGGCGAACTGCCACCGAAGCAATCGAAACGTGGTTTGCAGGAGAAGAAAGTTATATTGTTGGTGAAATTGTGATGGGATGCTCTACTACGAATTCTCTGGAAAGTGGCACAACTGTGACACCGACGATGTACTCTAACCAACTGCAGAAGGTGGTCGATGCAATCCTTCACAAGAGTGCATCAAAACTACTTTGAATCCACTTGACGAAACGATCGCCCCCACGTCGCAACAATGACGCGTCAGAAAATCAGGAGCTGGGTTGGGAAGTGTTACCGCATCCACCGAACCTTGAAGCGGCACCTACGTGATAAGCAATTCGACAATCAGGAGCAACTCAAAACGGAGCGGGCAACTTCTTCAGTAGCAATCCACGGAAAAATGGGATCGAGAAACGAAATCGAAAGTTACCAGTAAATGTATGAAGGTCATCGATAATAACGGCGACTATATCACTGCTTGAATTTGTCTTTTATTTATAAAAAACGATTGTGTTATTAGTGTAGCATTATTTTCTGGACAACCCAATATTTCATATTTTTTAACTTGTGCCTATCTCGGCTATAAGCGTTCGTCACACTGGATCCCGCTAATGATGGAAGTCTTACGGTAATATATCTTAAGAAATACTTCTAAACGAGGAAGCAATTCTCCTTCATTGCTGCCACCTTCTTTCGAATATGTATCAACTCATCCGCTATCGTCGTCGAAGGTGGCCTACAATATTTGCCCCAACCTGAAACAGCTACCTGATTTCTCCATTAATTTTGTAGTGGGTAGTTTCCTAGGATGGGTAACCTTGAATGTGGAAGACCCCAGTCTTCTAGCTTTTGAGCAACATCTTTATGGTCCATGGTCCCTCATGGAGCAGGTTTAGCTAAACCAGTTTCAGAGTCTCGCCTGGGGCGAAAGTTTTGTTCTTAACCCAGCATTTTTATAAAAATATTCGCAACCGAACAGCGACGATAAAACAGCTCTTAGTAAGCAGAACAAGTCAAAAGCAAAAGGAAGATCGAAGTGTTCACCTGTTGTTATATCAAATTCCCGTTGAAGATCGTTCAACTGGTATAGAATTTTTCTATAAAGCACAGTCCTCTAACTTCCAATAAATAGATTGGAGAGCCCTGGCAAATTATTTTATAGACAGATGTCTACTAAACCAAGGATCCAAAAACACTTGGATTCAAAAACACAAAAACAAACACTACACAAAAAATCTTGCGGATAATTCGAACAGTGGAAGGATTCCAGTGATTAGACCTATGTCTGTTCAAGTATTTCTGACTTCGCCTCATGGTTCAGTGGAGCAACTAGTGGCACGACTGAGTTGTGCTAGTGTATCATGAGCTATAAACGTGGTCTGTGGACGAATGTGTATTATGTCTAACCAAAAAGTTTGGGTCACCGTTCGTTCATTATGCCCAAACATAAAACTATGAACTTGTAAATATTTCCAGAATGACGCTGCAATTCATTTCCATTTTTGGGGAACTCGCTGTGAACCGTTCTCGACCAGGACGAAATTTCATCGCTCATAAAATAGTCTGACTTATTAAGTGGTTGTTACAGGCATCTGCTGAGGAACTGGCGTTATTGGTGTTCTTCGTTTTGCTCGCCATTGTGATATTCGCTGCTCTCGTTTACTATGCGGAAAGAAGTCAGCCAAATCCAGAAAACCAGTTTACCAGTATACCAGCAGGATTATGGTGGTGAGTTGAAAAGAAATCAAGATTCTCAAACGTGTGCCACGAAATATCAACATTTTTTCATTACAGGAGCCTCATTACGATATCCACCGTTGGTTTTGGTGACATGGTAAGTAAGGTGCTACAGTTGGATCAACTTTATTGATAGTTGTAGTTGTCTTC